GGCAACCCTGACTTGTGTGTATGCTTGCCACTAATGCTTTTGAATTTATCTTACATTTCTTTCTTCCCTTCCTCTCTCTCTCTCTCACTCTCTATTTGTGCATACACTTCTTTGGAATATATTCTGTACTTTTTTGGTGGTCAGAAATGCAATATAAAGTTTGTTCTACTTATCCAGGATCTTGTTGTAGCAAAAGGGCCTCTTAGAGTATGGGCTAGAAGCAGAAAATTTGATCTCTTTAGAGGCTGTCCACTTCCTTGTTTCCTCTGTTATAGCTAACTTGTGCCTGATCATAGGCTGAGTCCTGGGACTACTTCTGGCTTATGGGGTGTAATGGTGCCCTCATCACTCAGCATCTCACATACTACCTTATGGTCTTCTTTGCTGATAACCCTGAGGTCAATGGTCAGAGGTGTATGTTCAAAATATAATACTGTATAAGCCAATGACTATTTCTTTTAAGGAAAAAAAAATTGGACCCCATATTTAGGTATTTAATTTCTTTAAAAGATATATTTTCAACTAAGTTATGTCATGCAACTGATTATTTAGAAGAAAAAACATAACCCATTATCCAAGTGGCTCTTTCCACTTAGATATGGTATTGGCATCATTTGCTTCTTGAAAATTAGGTTTGTGCCTCATTTTTCTTCTTATACCTGGCTACACCTACCATTTGATAAATTTTTCTGGAATTGAATTACATTTTTCCAGCTGGCTTTTCAGAGATTTGGATATGGCATGTAGGGTTGTTTTTTTTTCCCCTGCAAGATTTTATTGAATGCAGACACAAAAATTATACCTTCAGATAGCATTTGAAATCTCCTGGGAGGCCAGTCTAAATAGAGCAAGTTGTTTCGTTTAAGTTATAGATCCCAATCATGGACTTTAGGGAAATTTTCTGGAAACTGATTCCTTGTTCTGGTTCTAATCAAGGGTACTGCATCTCCCTTCATATTATTGATGAGCAGCTGCTATGATTACATGAGTCTCACAAGGATGGAAAGTGGAGATAGAACTGTGTTTTATTTGGTGTTAAGGTAATACTCAGCAGTTTTGCCTCATCTGGATATAGACCTTTGAAGGAATGTGTAAGGTACTCCATGTTCTCAGTGAACAGTAGTAATAGGGTCTTTGAATGTGAAACATGTCCTAAATTTTTTCTCTTTAAAAATAACATTTCAAAACAAGTCAGAATTTCTCAAGGCAATTACAGAGCCATTTGTATTGACAAAATAGCAACAAGATGGGGTGTAAAAGGTTATGTATCTGTTCATTGCTCAGATGCTTAAGGACATGCCAAGGAAGAACATAACACCTGCCTTTTATTTTCTCTTGAGAGATGGCTCTATTTTTAATCTTGCCTAGTGTTCTGATCCTTTTGATTGTTCTCCAGAAGAAAATCTGAATAGAGTTACATAGGCCACCTACCTTAACCTAACAAATGAGAGGAAGGGAGAACTCACCAGGGGGATCTCATCTCTTTTCTGATGAAAAATGATAATTCCTGATTGATTGAAATGTCATGCTGAGTGGGTGAATAACAATCTTGGGGTTTATTGCATGCTTTCTAAAACTCTGCATATGGGGTTGTTCTTCAAACACAAGGAGGTCCTCTGCTGGCTATCTACTGGGGACGTGTCCAGCAAGAATGACCCAAATCTGTATGTTTAGGAAGGTTCTAAAAAAACCATCTCCTCTAGACTTCTAAGACCCTCATAAGGAAACAAATATAAGAATTATTACATGTGGAATTACTTAGAGCATTAATGATTTCCCAAGCTTGAGAACATATAAAATATAGCAAGCGGGATAGTTCTTAAGAGCATGGCCTGAAGGAATTAGGACTGGTGCCAGGCCTGGGCTGCTCTCTGCATACCCTCAAATTCTCCATCTGAAAATCATCCCTTTGGTATGGGTGCAATTAACTCCTTCATACAGAAGTATAAATCACTAAGAAGTTTCATGAGTGTCTTCCTCCTGGTTTTCAACTGGAGATAATCTTTGAGTCAAGGGAAAGCAAATCCAGTTGTGTAATAGCAAGGATATCTACTGGGGAGGGGAAGATACCCTCGAAAGGAGGAGAGGGGTATGCTGAGGGCTTGACAGAGCCACAGGTCTTTCCTGTGATGTTGGCAGCATGCACAGCTGGTGGTGCTCATGTTGAAATAGAGGAGACTCCTGTGGGCTTTATCCAGCTTTTTTGTTGGACTTTGTATCTTAAGAGCAGAGAACCCATAGAATTCTTCTGTGTCCTTCACTGGTTTTTTTTTTTTCCTTTTAAATTTTTATTTAAATTCTAGTTAGTTAACATGTCGTGTAATATTGGCTTCAGGAGTAGAATTCAGTGATTCATCACTTACATATATGTAACACCCAGAGCTCATCATCACAAGGGCCCTTCTTAATACCCATCACCCATTTAGCCCATTGCCCACCCACCAGCTCCAGCAACCCTCAGTTTGTTCTTTTATGGTTTGCTTCCCTCTCTTGCTCTTTTTTACCCCTTCTTCCCTTCCTGTATGTTCATCTGTTTTGTTTCCTGAATTCCACATATGAGTGAAATCATAGGGTATTTGTCTTTCTTTGACTGATTTCCTTAGCATAATATACTCTAGCTCCATCCATGTCATTGCAAAAGGTAAGATTTCATTCTTTTTGATGGCTGAGTAATATTTCTCTGTGTGTATATACCATATCATTATCCATTCATCAGTCGATGGACACTATGGACACTTGGGCTCTTTCCTTAGTGTGACTGTTACTGATAATGCTGCTGTAAACCTTGGGGTGCATGTACTCTTTTGAATCTGCGTTTTTGTATCCTTTGGGCAAATAGCTAATAGGCAATTGCTGGGTCATAGGGTAGTTCTATTTTTAACTTTTTGAGGAAGCTCTGTACTATTTTCCAGAGTGGCTGCACCAGTTTGTGTTCCCACCAATAGTGTAAGAGGGCTCCCCTTTCTCCACATCCTCACCAGCATCTGTTGTTTCCTGTGTTGTTCATTTTAGCCATTCTGACAGGTGTGAGGTGGCATCTCATCATGGTTTTGATTTGTATTTCCCTGATGATGAGTAATGTTGAGCCTCTTTTCATGTGCCTGTTAGCCATCTGGATGTCTTCTTTGGAGAAATGTCTCTTCGTGTCTTCTTGCCCATTTCTTGACTGGATTTGTTTTTTTGGGTGGTGAGTTTGCTAAGTTCTTTATGGATTTTGGATACTAACTCTTTATCAGATATGTCACTTGCAAATATCTTCTCACATTCTGTAGGCTGCTTTTTAGTTTTGCTGTTTCCTTTGTTGTGCAGAAGCTTTTTATCTTGATGAAGTCCCAATAGTTCATGTTTGCTTTTGTTTCCCTCGCCTCCTGTACCACGTCTAGTAAGAAGTTGCTGTAGCTGAGGTCAAAGACGTTGCTGCCTGTGTTCTCCTCTAGGATTTTGATTGTTTCCTGTCCCACATTTAGGTCTTTCATCCATTTTGAGTTTATTTTTGTGTTTGGTGTAAGAAAGTGGTCCAGTTTCATTCTTCTGCATGTGGCTGTCCAATTTTCTCAGCACCATTTGTTGAAGAGATTGTCCTTCTTCCACTGGACATTCTTTCCTGCTTTGTCAAAGATTAGTTGACCATAGAGTTGTGGGTCTATTTCTGGGCTCTCTATTCTGTTCCGTTGATCCATGTGTCTTTGTGCCAGTACTGTCTTGATGACTAGAGCTTTGTAATAGAGCTTCAGGTCTGGAATTGTGATGACTCCAGCTCTGCTTTTCTTTTTCAGGATTGCTTTGGCTATTCAGGGTCTTTTGTGGTTCCATGTGTCCTTCATTTCTAACTCTATGCCTGGTGCTAGTAGGAGCTCTGTGGACTGACTCTTGAGTGGATGTCAGCTCAGGACTTGGCAGCAGGGAAGGAGGGAGAAGGAGGCATAGAGACAGGTACCTGACACGGAGGGCTAGCATGCTGAACAGAAACATTGTCTCATCTTTCTTTTGTCATGGGCCCAGTCCTTCTTGGTACTGTCTTCCTTTTGTGGAAAAAAAAAAAGTGGCTCTCTGTTTTCGTTTCTTCTTAGTCCCCCAGATTTATACTTCTGCTCCATCACAGGTCCTCACTTTTGGTCCAGGAGCCTGGGTGCTGTTGGCTTTGTGCTCGAATATAGTAAATGCATACTCTTCTTCCCTGGATGCCCTTGAGAGGTCTGTTGGAACAGGACTTCAAGCAGCAACTCTTCTCCCTTCACACCTTAAGCCTTGCCTTTCTCTGCTTTGGATTGACCCCAGACACAGCCAGGAGCTTAGGCTCTTGCTCAGGATGTAGTTTGTGTTGCTCTGTTGATCTGTCCTCCAGCCCCTGCTGCCAAATGGCAAGTTTCCAGATGTATTTCCTATTGTTCAAGGGAAAAAAAGTTAAATGCTTTCTGAAGGGGAGGGGAAGGGGGAAAAGTCAGGTATTTAATTTGGACATCAGAGTGGTTTGGCTTGTGTCCTATAGTCATTCCATAGGAGTTTATTTAGGTAGACAATGTCTAAGTGATTGATCAAGGAGGGACAGGAGTTAGTCATCCATCTTAGGCACTTGGCACATTCTGTTTTACACCTGGAGACACAGTTCAGGGTGCTTGCCGGGGAACCAAAGGTTTGTGCCTCTGAAAGAGGAAGGGGGCCTGGTCCCATTGAGTTATAGCAGGGCCAGATGAAGCGATTCTCCATGACTGGGGAGAGGAGCATCCACTGTGTTCTTCCTCCCTATTCCTTCCACTACTTAAAATTTGTACTCACTTCATCTGCATCCCACCAGATCTTTCTACCTGGGGACAAGAGGATGCTGTATGAAGTCTGAGTCCTTCTTGCACCTGGTGTGTGGCTGGGAAAGGTTATTGAGCCTAAGGACCTCCTTAAGACTCCTCCCCTGTCTAAAGTTTCCTACTTACTTTAAAAAAACTTATATCCTAAATGTCTGCAACTTCAGTTATAATGATACCTTTCCATGTTCATTTGTTTAGATATGCCACACTGCTGTCTGCTGTTGGCAACCCTCCTGGACTAGGCTGCTTTGGTTAATCACATGGATGTTGTGAGTATTATGTTCACAAGTGGATGTAGAGAAGATAATTTGATTGAACTACAAATCCTCACCACACAAGCCACTCCTGCTTAGCAAAAATATATGAAACAGTTGTGATCTGGAGTTTCATTAATCTCTGGGATTATGCTGCTTGCACATTGGTTAAATACTGTGGTTTCCGTATCTTACTCTAAGCATTGAGTTTTTATCAAAGAACTTTTGACACAAAGCAGTGTCTTAGAGTGTTTCAACATGAAGGTAGTTGTTGATCTCCATTTGCAATCCTGAATTCATTTCATCTCCTATGCTTTTATGTTACAGCTTTCTTTTTTTTTGTTTCCACTTTTATTTTTATTTTTTATTTTTTTAAGATTTATTTATTTGAGAGAGAGAGAGCACTTAAGCGAGGGGAGGGGCAGAGGGAGAGAATCTTCAAGCAGACTCCTTGCTGAGTGCAGATCTTGTTTCAGGGCTCCATCCCACACCCTATGAGATCATGACTTGGGCCAAAACCAAGAGCTGGATGCTTTACTGACTGAGCCACCCAGGCGCCCCAGATTGTTCCCACTTCTAGGCTATTATGAAAGTTCATGATCAAGTTTTTGGGTGGACATACGTTTCAATTCTAATTGCTGGATCACATGGTAACACTATGTTTAACATTCTGATGAACTGCCTGTTTTCCAGAGTGGCTGCACCATTTCACATTCCAGCTTGGAGTGTATGAAGGTTCTAGTTTCTCCACATTGTGAACAGCACCTGTTATTATCTTATTTATCACAGTAATGCTAATTGGTATCTTCTTATGTTTATTTGCATAATTAATGATGTTAAGCATCATTTCAGGCACTTAACTGGCCATTTACACATCTTCTTTGAACAAATGTTTTATTCAGATCTTTCGCCCATTTAAAAAAATTGGGTTGTCTTATTATTGAGTTGCAAGAGTTCTTTAAGTATTCTAGATACAAGTCCTAAGCAGATACAAGATTTATAAATAAATTCTCCCATTCTGTGGATTGCCTTTTCATTTTTTTAAAAAATTTTTTTATTGTTATGTTAATCCCCATACATTACATCATTAGTTTTAGATATAGTGTTCCATGATTCATTGTTTGTGCATAACACCCAGTGCTCCATGCAGAACATGCCCTCCTCAATACCCATCACCAGGCTAACCC